CCAGAATTAAATGGAAATATGTAATCGCTGAGACAAGGAAACAGATCTATCTGGTATTTTTACTGGTCACTGGCTTAGCATTTACAATATACAACATGACAGGAGGTTCTCAAAAATTTACTTGTAAGAAATAAAGACAACAGTGGGGCATTAGCAAAGATATGGATACAGATGTTTCACCATTTTCCACTTATGTTTCATCCTAGGTAAAGACTGAAGATACCTAGACAGACTATTTTATCTTCGCACAGAAACAGCAGCAGCATTTTTGGGGCACGTAGTCTTCAGAACAGGAGGAAGGGTAAAAAAATCTCTGTCATCATCCTAAGAGTTAGACAGGTTGTAAATAGCTTTAATGTAAACATAGACCTATCGTGCAACTTCAGCTAAGAAACTGCTGTGTATAGTAGCTACATTCCTAGTCAGTTCCTGAATTTGTAATCTAAAGCTTACCCAAATATCTTCATAATTGATTGTAGTCACTTTGTGTGCAAAGTTTAGCTGTAACCTAATCAGGACTAAAATTTATCTTCTTCTGGTTTTAGATTCTACTGAGGTATTTTAAAAATCCCTGATCAAAATGTTTTAAAAGTCCTTTTGAAAAAAAGAAACAACACTTTCCTTTAATGGGCAAAAACTAAGCACTTGTCTTTTTTTCTCCCCCTCATATATTTTGTTCCATTATCTGCTAGGTAGTATCTCTGAAGAGGAACAACTTGAGAAATCAACTTCCATATGGTAAACAGAAGGACAATACTCAAGATATTACTTTGACTTACATAGGCGTGAAAGCACACAATTAGAAATACAAGTAATTTTGAAAGGTACATTACAGTAAAGAGCACTTAACACTGCAGAATAAATATAATATGCCTCAGAGGGTTATAACATTAACAAGTGGAAACAAGAACATTAAACAGAAGCAAATGCAGACATGCAAAAAATTCCCAGTTTTTTCATATGGTTACTTCAATTCTGATAAAACATGTAAATGAAAAAATAGATTTTTATTACAATGTCCATATGGTTTTAATTTAAAAGCTGTTTAGAAAATATATATTTTAACTAGTCATACTGCTAGGGGTCATTGTACTTTGCTCAAAGTCTGACCTCTAAGAGAGTTTAATAAATGAGAAAAGATTCAGGACCAACAAAGCAGCTTGTTAAAAGACTCTCAGTATAGAATATGCACCTCATGATACCTCTAAAGTACAGTTCCTCTTTTCAGATGTCACAGGCAAAACGCAACATTCAGATCATCAAAATGCAACCAAGCAGTTTTGAAAAGATTTTGCACAGATCTCTAACCCTAGAGCATAGTTAAGGGAAGACAGTTTGCCCATAAGACTTAAAACCAGCAAATATGAAAAAAATATTTAAATTTTAGAAGATTGTTGACCTGCAGATGACTAGGAAGTATGACTAGAAGTATGGCCTTGAATATCCCAAATTGGTTGGGATATCTATAGCAGAAATATTGGTATGGATTTTCTTTACCCCTCTTTCCATGGAAATTTCTTGCACTTCAAATTTGCTGAAGATCCAATAGTTTCCCAAGTTTCAGATACGTGTCTGGACTCTCCCTCTACCTGCAGACCTGCACTATACACAGCTTGCTGGTGAATCCAGTAGCAAGATTTTCACAGGCAACGAAAAAGATCTAGAAACAGGGTCTCCAGCTAATAAGGAGAAATCTTAATTCCACAGCTAAATTAATCTTTGCTATTTGGCTTTGAAAAAGAATGGAGATACAATATATTGGAAAATACAAATATACAACACCTTCCCAGCCTCCACCCTCTCCCTGTTTCTCATCCTTGGGGGTATTTTGACTGTGAAAGGTTAAAAATGCCCACTACATAGCAAACTGGTAGCACTGACATCCCATCAATCCCAGTAATGTGTGAGACTGTATCACAAAAAAATATCCTCAAAAAGAGAGAATCTTATGACACACATACAGGCAGAATAAAAATAAAAAGAGCAAGCTGCAAAAATAGAGCAGCCCTTCCTGCTTTCTTATATTCCACCACTTGTTTACACAAGAACAGGAACATAGCTAAAGTCTCCATGAACAGGTAAACATCACACTGCTTGATGATTTAAGAAGCAACTAAAAAAGAAATTTCTTACAGAATACAAGGTCAGTACAAAAATAGGCACAGATTCCCAAACAGAGGAGGAGAATGGAAAGGTCAAAGAATGTATTTTCAGGATGAGATAAAAAAACTACAAACACTATTCAAAACACTAAGTCAGTTGGCATTTTGCACTGATTACACCTACAGTTAAGACATAATCCAAACACATTTCTTTTAATGTATCACTCCACTGAAATACATTCTAATCCAAAATCTAAATGGATTTTAATTGAATTGCATACTGTAGCTAGCATTAAATTATCTAGCATTAGAAGAGCTCAAAATAGCTACACCACCAACATACCACAGAAAGAGAAATAAAATACTCCACGGAGTTACATAATGTTTATGCTCTTTTCCACAGGGAAAAATGAAACCTACGAAGCAATCAGTGGAAGACACTAGTTTGCAAATTATGACCATCTGGGATTGAGATGAAAATACAACACCTATGTAAACAGTAAATCCTATGTAGATGGAAAGAAACAATCAAAGAACATTTGTAACAGCTTGAGCTCATGTTTTATGTCAGCTACATAAGACACAAATATTTTGAAGCACTTAAAAAGGCACATCAGCAAGGTTTTTGTAAATGGAATAATATGCCTCTGAAATCAGAATTCAGACTTCCATCTGGCAGCAATTGTGACTTCCTAAAAACCCAGTCACAGAATTTTAAAAAAAGAAAAAAAAAAAAGAAAAAAGGAAAAAAAAGAAAACGCAAAAAGGGGAGTGTGGGGGTGCAGGGATTGATTCCAGTAACAACCTTAACAGACTTTAAGGGGTCTGAGCAAAGGTATTTTGTTCAGGACTATATATTTATTATATATAAAGCAGACTGAGCGGGGTCTGCAAAGGCTTTAACCAGAAGACAGACAAGAAACACCTCTACTTCAATAGGAATAAAAAAAGATTTTAGAGCAACTTGAGTCTTTCAGGTCTTTCATAGCATTAGTGGCTGATCCGAAGTTTTACTTCCAGTGTGTAAATAAAGTGATGATTTAAGGAGCAACCAAAAAAGAAATTTCTTACAGAATACAAGGTCAGCACAAAAATAGGCACAGATTCCCAAACAGAGGAGGAGAATGGAAAGGTCAAAGACAACAAAATTTCATTTAATTCACAAGGAAGATATAAAAGTAATTAATATGCCTGCAGCATTACAAGACAAGTTTTGTTAAAAATACGCCAATAAAGGAAAATTTACCTTGCAGTTCTGCAACAGTCGAATGAGATGCTCAAAGCAGTTACTGTTAAGGAAAATTGCCTGCAGAACAGGCCTATCTGTGCAGTCTAACATGGCTGTGATGGTATCTATAAAATTAAAAACAGAACTCGCATCAACAACAAAACACTTCCCAAATTCATCAAGCATTTTTTCTTCACAGTATGTAATAAATACGGGGGAAAAATTATACAAAAAAAAAAATGCTGTCAATTCTTTTATCAAGAATTATGTGTTTTAAGCACAGAGCATTAGGCCTAAAGCTAAACACTTTTATGCTCTAAAAATTATCATGCAACCTACTATATCTGGACAAAAAAGCAGCTACTGAATAACTTTGATTGCTTTGGGGCTCTAAAGTCATTGCCATTTGCAAGTACATAGACAGCATGCCTTTTAACGAAAGCACACAAAGACTTGCTTCCTCATTAAGCAATGACTCTGCATTCTACAGCAGCCTCTACTGTAAGCATTCTTCATTGCCTCAGTACTATTCTTCAGTTTTCTTGGAAGTTTGGGAAAATAAATACCTTTATTTATATTTCCCATTCTGAAAATCAAGGTGGAAAAAACTCCAAATCCTGAATTATTATCTGATAACTGAAACCCAGATGCTTCAGACCATCACCTTTGGCCAATGTTTACAATAATGCCATTTGAAAAGCAAACTATCACAAAACAGCCAACACATAGACATTTTATTACAGACCCATCTTATTCTGCAGTTAAGGTACTGATGAATGTCAGCTGTTACCTAGAAAAAGTTTGGTTTATTTTTTTTTAATGGAGACTGGCAGTCCATGAGCCTGGCTAAATGGTAGCCATCTGATATGGTTACTTCTGGGGTTTTTTTGCAGTGAATGACTAAACAAGTATACATCTACAGTAATGCCAATGAAGAAATGTTTTATATTTTTCAGTTGCTTAGCCAACTGAACAATTTTGGTAGAACATTCAATTATATTACTACCATGGTTCAATCATTATTTTCTTTCGATTTATTATCAAGAGATATTTAAAGGAACTGCACAACTGGGTACTCACTCAGCATTTGAATCTGTAGTGCTATGAACCTGCTCTCCCACTGCCTGCATCGCCTTGGATTAGGTAAAGCTGAATGGTCTGAATTAAGCAACTTGAAATAGTTCTCCAATATTGTACTCGTCTCCACTTGCCGTTGGTCAGAACTGCTGGTTAGAAGGATATGGACAACTTCTGTCAGGCACTTCAGAGTCAGCTCTGCCTTCCTGCTCACTTCCTCAGGGTTCCTGTCATCCCAGCTGTCACAGTCTGCTAAAACACGCATCAAGACTTCCATGGTGGCAGGAGATACTGCTTGAAGAGCATTCCTCTGAAACCCATGGGGGGAAAAGTGATTAAGGAAAAAAATAATAATAAACAAATAAATGAAATCAAACCTCTTCAAACCAGCAGTTTCTACTTGAGTTATCTGAAACATGCAACATGCATTATGTCTGTTAATGCCCTGTAACTGTTAAATAAATACAAAAGATTCTGCTTGGATAATATTGATGGCTGCAGCTGAACTGCATCCCATCTTGTTCACCTAACTAGGCTTTCTTTTTCAAAGAGAATGCTTACTGAAAAAAGGAAATACAATTTAAATGCATGTTACAAAATTCTTATAATGTAGCCTTGATAAACTGCTAATTTTAGGTAAACTTTCACTTGAATTTTCATTTTTGATTATGAGATTCATGATACCTTAAGATTTTTTAAAAGAACACGGTAATTAGCAAAAATTTGCCTGGGCCCTGAGTGCATTTCCCTCACCTCTCTTCCTGAGGGTCTGACTGCATAGGCTCAGGGCCACATTACATCTGGGGCAGGAGCCCAGCCTCGCAGAGAGCTTTGAGAAGCCTTGTCAGGGTCTCCCTGCCTTCTCTAGTGAGCTGCATTCAAGCTGCAGCTCTCAACCTTTGAGCTGCCTGAGCCATGCTGCAACCATGCCCATGCCCAGCACATACTGTCTGGAACCTGACGCACAGACCTGACTGCCCAGATTGACCTTAGACCTGCCCCATCACTATGAACGGGCCTGGCAGCCACTGGACTCTTAACGGCCCCTAGTTACCATCACTAGACTAAATCCCCACCCTGATATGCTGACCAGACTTCCTGGCTTGATCTAGGCTTCATCAGCACAGACTTGTCTAGTGATGTGGGCTGTTCAATCCTGGTTACTACCCCAAGGCCTGCTATGATCACCTTGTGCAGGTATAGTGAGACTACAACTTTTGCCAGTGAGGTCAACTGCCCCTGCCTGCCTGGTCGTCATGCTCAGTCTCAGCTTGCCTTCCATGGTGGAACAGTGCCTGGCTTTGCTGCTCCTTGACAACACTTCAAAAAGCTCTCTCTTCTTTATCAGAAGCAACATTTGCTTGTGACAAGGCTAATTAGCACACCACAGAAGTCAGCCAAGAGAGCGGCTGTTGGCTTTGCTGATGATAAACATCCTCTTTTCTTCAAATGCTTTCAAAGATTTTAAACAGCTTCCAAGCTATAAAGACCCTGTGTCTCTTACTGAAACAACTTACTTCCAACATTGGTAAGCAAGCGAGATTAATTTCACGTGTTGATACAAAACTTAGACCTTTGTAGGTGGAAACTCCTAGTCTGGCTATGCACATTTTTTCTTTATGATATGAAAACATTACAGTAAGTTCATACAAATGTGTAGTTATCGCAGACAGAAAATTTCTACTGTTATTTGAAAGCAGGACCTAGCTTTTAGCATTAGATACTATTGCACAGAATGACCCCAAACTTCATAAGACAAACGAACAATTCATAGTCAATAATAAATTAATTTAGGGGTTATGGGGTATTTATAAGCCTTAAACAATGAACAGACACTTGGAGACTTCAGCAGCTGAAAAGAGTTTAAAAGACCCTTACCTGACCACCAGCCACAATAGCTCCAAATAGATGCAGGAGGCAACATTTTAGGCTTTCCTTGAGATGTTCACTTTCTTGAAAACATTCTGATTGGAGTAAATAAAAAGGATTCCTTACTTTTGTCATATAAATTATAAGAAGTTTTCCCTCTCAAAAAAACCCCACTGACAAATGAAATAATAAAAAACTACCCTACACCGTGTCATCGTGCAAATTAAAAAAAAAAATTCAACTACATAATTACCACTTTCTTTGACATAAATCAGACACAAATACATCAATTCCAGCATTACCAAAGTAACACAACAAGACCACATTTCTCAGGAATTCACAGGGACAGACCTTCAGCTTGCATAAGACTTTTCACACAGGCTGACAGAATTATATACATACAAAAACTGTTGATCTGATCCATGATGTAAAATGAGCCCATTTTGTCCATACTAATGAAAAATAGAAAGACACGCTAACATGCAAGCAGTTAGCAGGCATGACAAAGGTTAGAGCAATTATGGCACAGGAAGTCTAATGCCATATGGAGTGAAGGCAGCTCAGAAAAACAGTCCCTGAGCTTGCTCCCTTTAAGCCAAACGTAACCTTTCCAGCAATAGACTCTTTAAAAACAACTATCCTGCATCTCTTCTCATGCCATATCTGATATAAATTAGTTATAAACAGCCTTGGGAACTCTTCTTAGCAATAGATATAACCTGGATATTGTTGCTACAGCAATAACATTAGACCCAAAGTAGCTGCAACAAACTACAAAGGTTTATTTTATTTGGAATTAAGCACCCTAAAACTTCCAACAACTTTATGAGATAGAACTGATAATGATGTGGGTTTGTAAAAACTGAGATTTTAAAAAAACAACTGGAACAGAAAATGCAAGAATTTTATATTCATTAAAATAATAATATAACCTTTAAGACAAATACCAATCATTGGCAAGTTAAATTTCTGACTATACACTGAATGTATAAGCCTGTCTTAAAAGAAAATCTGGTCTTCAAAGGAAACAAAGCTTAGATGATCACACTGTTATTCTGCTAGTCTCACCACTCCTTTGACTTATAGCCTCTGAATCTTCTGGTGAGCCTCAGACAAATTCAAAAGAGCAGTACCTAGCCGATTGCGAATAAATCAATAGGCCAGGTAGACCAAAAAAGGCTCAAATTAGTGCTGCCATGGCAGAATGCATAAAACACATGCTCAGCAATTTCTTGTTCTGTCTTTCCTGCCTGTTGGCCAAATAGAAGATGAGTATCTGCCAGCTAATTAGTACACCTGTAGCTCAGTCACAGTATATAATATTAAAGTGATTTAGGAGGAGCCAGAGTACAATAAAATGAATGGGGAAGAGAGAACCTGCAGATGACATTCCTCAGTAGCAGCCTTTGGAGTATGTTTCCAGTGCTCTGGCACAAATATAACAGCATTTTGTTGGCACCAGCTCTTTGGTCTTTTTGGCAACTAGTCTATTTTATGTACACAGAGAGGGAATCTCAAGGAACAGAAGGAGTACGCAACTCAAACCTAGAGAAATCAAAATAATAAATGCTACTGCTCTAGGAATAGAATCTTACTTTTTAATTTTCACTTAAAGCTGAATTAACAAATAGGTGCAAAAAGGGTTGATTTCACTCACACCCCCACACGTCCAGCATATTTCTGCAGCTTCAATTCTGTTGGCACTAACACGTTGGTTTGCTAAACTGGCAAACTAGTTGGGCATCCCACCTTCCCAAGATTTAAGTACAGAACATGGTCACCTAAGTCCTCCTTTTCCATAAAGCCAATCCGTAATCGTAAGAACACATGAACTCCAAAGTAGCCATCACGATATTTAATGACTTAACCAGGGATAAAACAGAGCAGTTTCCCCAAACTACAGTCCAAGGAGCATTTGTTAGTTGGATGGCACCGAGTTTCCTTCTTTCTAGCCATTAAATCATATTAAGGGACAAAAATGCACGCACGCTTTCCTAAGACTATTTTTCCACATGAGTTATCATTACAGTTGCTACAGGGATCTTACATGCAATCACTACATGCACTCTAACAAACTGGGAAGCTGGCAATTCACAGAACAAACCCTATTAAACCATGTTAGGCACTGAAAGGAAGTCTGAAAAAACCCAGGCTTTCAAAGATGAGTAAGAACAGCAAGATGGTGATGCTCAGAACAAAAAACAAGCAAACAAAGCAACCCACTTCATTCAGCCTCGGAAAGCAAGTAAGGGGCTTTTACATTTACCAGGTATTCTTAGGGGAAAGGAACTTGGAATCACTAAGTTCACTCCTCCAAAAATGACTATTTTAAAATATGTTGTTGATAATACTTACGGTAAAAGAAAGGGACAAACTCAACAGTGAGGGAAGCTGGCTTATACTTCTGTCTGCTTTTTTCAACTGTACTAAGGAAACATCTGCAATTACATTAAAAAAGATACGCCAAAGAAATTAGATAAGATACCTTTGTTTATTACTTAGTTATTAATTTATTACTTCAGATAGAAAACGCTGCCAAAAATAAGAAGTTACCTTTTGGCTATAGGATAAAAAAAAAAAATATAGTAAAGTAGTATTTCATCTTGAAAAAATGAATCACAGCTAATCCTGTATTTACTGTTCTGCTCCTAGAAATACCTTAACTTTTTACAATACGGTTGAGTTTAAAAAAAAAGCCAGCAGTCTGTTATTTAGTCCTTGCATATTGTAACTAAGCCACCAGCTAGACTGCCAGATTTCTTAACCATGCAATTTGAAATGGGCAGAAAAGATTATTATGCATTCATTATGAGGGGACACCATCAAATTAAAGGGATATAATTATACTGATACACTTACAAAATTATTTTCAATGATGCAACATATCTATACCGTGATCTTCAATAACTTCTTTTGCCCTAATGTCCTGGGTTAAGCTGAGACAGCGTTAACTTTCTTCATAATAGCTATCAAGAGGCTGTGTTTTGGATTTGTGCTCAGAAGAAAGCTGATAAAAAGTGATGTTTATGCAGCTGCCAAGGTCTTTCAGCTTCTCTGGCTGTCTGCAAACAGGAGAAGCTGGAAGGGAGCACAGCCCCAGTTACCAGCCTAGGATTTGATCTTAGGTTTGGGATTGAGACCCAGGGTGGCCAATAATCTATTCCATAACATACACATCATCCCCACTATATAGGTGAGGATCCTCCGGAAGATCAGCCCTTTTGGTTCTGGATCTCTTTTGCTCTGGGTCATCTTGCTCCAGGTCGTCGCTCTCCGAAGGCCTTCCCCACGCAGGTCAGCTCTCGGTCTGGGATGCTCGGACTGTTGTCTCTGTTCTGTGAGTGCAGTTTCAGGACTCTCCCTGCTCCGGGATCATCAGCCAGGAACAGGCTGAGCCTTGGTCATCGGGTGGGGGGGCAGTATCACTGTGTATCACTCATTTGTATATGGTATGATTTTCAATATTATTGTAGTTTAGTTATTAAATTGTTCTTATCTCAACCCACAAGTCCTTTTTTCCTCTTTACCACTTTAAGCCTCTCCCCTATCCTCGGGTGGGGGTGGGAATTGGGTGAGTGGGTGTGCAGTTTGGCCCCCAGCCAAGGGCAAACCCATCACACCTAATTCAGCCAGGTCTGCCCTACCCCACTTCTTTTGGCTTCCTTGTTCCACCAGTTTAGAAAAATGGGGCAGCTTTTGAAAGGAGAAAGCAATGGAAAGACCTTCATGTTTGTCAATTACAACCAAACACCTCTTAGCATATCGTAAAATTTAATTTTGCTTTACCTTCTAGACTGTCAGCAAATATATTACAATTTTAAAAAGGTATATAAATCATATACAGCTTCAGAAAGCATAACACTTTTCTGTGGTGTGATTATATTGATTCGTTGTCGAATCCTGTACCTTCATTGGTTGTAAATTCGCTGATTTTGAGTACTTACGCTCTACCTAAGATACCATAAGATTGTGCTGGCATTATCTACGCTAAATCTGAAAACAGATTAATAGTACACTGGTAGGCCATATGTGAGAACTGGTGTTTCTTTGCACTTTGTCCGACAAAAGGGGAATTCTCACATTGCACAAAAGTACCAGAAGTTGTGATTTTTACATGTTTCTTAAAACTTTGTGCACAATGATTCAAGCTGTCATTGAGAATACCACCTTTTGTTTCCATAACAGCCTCATGAAACCTACAGTCCATGCAGTATTATGGCGTAATGCAGGTTTCAAGCTACAAAGAACCACAGAAGCTCCCATGATCCCCACTCTGTTTGCACAGAGTCGAACGAGTGACTCACTGCACAAATGCAAGTCACAGAGCTAGCCCAAATGCTGTGCTAGTTCTACAGAATGTCTGCTGTGAGAATGGACCTGAGGTTTTACAAGACTAGGTAACATGAGATATGATCTCTCTATGGCTTTAGTTATTTACATGAACAGGTCTAATATCTGATGCATGTCAAAATGGTCGTGACAGAAATAAAACTGAGGACCTAAAGGAAAAGCAGCTCTGAATGATAGCAGCAAAGAGCAAACAACAACTTCAGCCCTTGTACACACAGCAGAAAAACACGTTAACTATACAAGATTAGGTACATTTAACATTACTGTCATTAACTCGGGGCTAATAAGGGAGAACTACATATGAAAAAGATCTCAGAAAATTATAAGAGGTCTCTGAAGAGACAGTTATAGCCGATAAAGTGAACCACTAGCAGCTTCAAAGAACAGGGCCTGTGACTAGAACAACAGAAACTAAGCATCTCAGAAAGCAGATTTCCTGGCTCTCTGCACTTCCCACCTTTTAAAAAGCCTCACAGCTCAGATTTCCACTAAAGGAAACAGGATATATCAGTGCTCTGGGGGACGAAGAGATTGAGAGCAGACCTGCAGAGAAAGACCTGGGTGTCCTGGTGGATGAGAAGTTGGACATGAGCCGGCAACATGCGCTTGCAGCCCATAAGGCCAACCATATCCTGGGTTGCATCAAAAGAAGCGTGGTCAGCAAGTCAAGAGAGGTGATTCTGCCCCTCTACTCTGCTCTGGTAAGACCACACCTGAATCCAGCTCTGGAGCGCTCAGCACAGGAAGGACATGGACCTGTTGGAGCAGGTCCAGAGGAGGGCCACGAAAATGACCAAAGGCCTGGAACACTTCACCTATGAGGAGAGGCTGAGAGATTTGGGGTTGTTCGGATTAGAGAAGAGAAGACTCCAAGGAGACCTGACTGTGCCCTTTCAGTACCTAAAGGGGACTTATAAGAAAGATGGGGATAAATATTTTAACAGGGCCTGTAGCAATAGGACAAGGAGTAAATGGTTTTAAACTAAAAGAGGGGAGGTTTAGACTAGATATAAGGAAGAAATATTTTACACTTAGGGTTGTGAAACACTGGGACAGGTTGCCCTAGGAAGTGGCAGATGCCCTGTCCCTGGAAACATTCAAGATCAGGCTGGATGGGGATCTTCGCAACCTGATCTAGTGGAAGATGTCCCTGCTTACTGCAGGGGCATTGGACTAGATGACCTCCATGCTCCCTTCCATCTCAAGCTATTCTATGATTCTACTCAGACAAATCTGGTGGGAATGAAGTTCAGTTTCAAGCACATCTGCTTCACAATGTTAATTTTAGTAGAAAAACTATTTCATTAATGCTATTCTCAAGACTCTATCTTCAGAGGAAAAAAACCCTAAAACACAGTATCAAGTGCTCAAGGCTATCAATTCTAACAGTTATAAAATGCAACAGCCAAAGAATACACACTACTTTTTATTTTAGTTTTACACCAGGTAGCAGTAGTTCTGTCAGAAACTTTATGTATTGTTTAACTAAAGTTATCATAAACCACAGGATTTATTATCACGTCCTAGTCCACACTTACCCTGCAATTCGCTGCCTCCAGTTTCGATACGGATCATAGAGACTTTCACAAAAAGCCAATGCATGTCTCACAAATTCTTCTATGGGTGTCTGATCTGCCAATTCTTTCTCTTTTGTTTTGCTTTTTAACTGAGGAAAGAAGAAAGCCATGGTCACAAGATTTCTGGAAACTGAAAATTAATCTTGCTCTCCTCCAGAACGGTTCCGAGCCCACAAATTGTTTCCCACACAACACTATTATTGAAAAAGCGGAACACATAAGCTGGAGCAGGAAGTATCACATCTCAAAAATAACAGACAAGAATTGTTAACCACGTACCTGTTGAATGTATAATGTAGTCATGGTGATAACGTGGTTAATGTATGAACACATCCCAATCTCCTCCACATTAGCCAAATTCCTATGAAGACAACATAAAAACCACAGAAATGTACACAGTGTACCACGTAAGGCTAGTTCAAACAATGTTTATTTTAGCATTCTGTCTATAATTATCCAAAAGTATATCAGTATTTTAAAAATACTCTCCAAAAGACTGCATGTACTCAAATATTTATTTCTGTCACCGTAACAGACCTCACAAGTTTTCTTCTAACAGGAAGGAAAAGCGACTCTGCTGTAGGACAATTCTATCTGGAATTTGGGGTTTCAGAGGTTAAGTAGATTCCCAGGACACTCTAAACAGAACGCTCAGAAATGGCATCTGATAATAAAGATAATAACTTCCACTTCTCCTACATTACTAGTGCATACACTTTCTAAAACTTTTGCAAACATACTGCCTAGAAGCATTTACTCACTTTGAATTCTCCCAAGGAAAACAACTAACAAATTATTTTAGAACATAAATAAATCAACAGCAACAAAGAAATAGCATGTGCATGTTATTTCTCAGTCTTGAGAACAAGTCACAAAGATCAGATACTGAAGTGATGATGTAAGGAGAACTTTTCAGCAATTAAATAAGACTGATAACAGTTCATAATTCAGAAACACATTACCACATTCAGAAACACCACCACTCGACTTGTATTTAATATTCCAGGATACTTAAACACTGTGCTACAGCCCTTTGTATTGTTTCAGGATTAAGGAGAGCCAAAGGACTCAAAAAAGACTGCTTCAACTACTCCTCAGAAAAGGAGATGCACTATTCTGTTTTATCCCCTTCCTCTCTTAATGCAGTTTACAATAGAAAGCTGAAGAAATAGTGAGGAATATAACCCTAAAACCAGTTTACTCACTTGCTTCAACAGAATTACAAAACAATGCATAAGTTCCAGAAGGAAGCCAGTTGCACTAATAATGTAATAAGTCAGTTTCCTAAGCTATTTATGCAATTATAAGCATGTTAAGAATGTGAAAGAGTTCTTCATGTAAAATTCTCTCTCAAGCTATCTCATATCCAACACTTGTTAGAGTGTGCCTTTTCTTTTAAAAGTATTTCTTGTACCAGGTACACTTTATCTTGAACTCCTATAGATATATCTTATGTCATTGTAAGGAATTTAGTGTTTTTCATCTCCTTCTATTCCATTTCTTATGGCAAACATTATTGCTAAGATGATTGCTTGGCTCCGCTCTCTCTCTTTTATTCCCTCTTCCTTTGTTTTGAAGGTTGTAAGAAGTGGCATTTCTCTGCCTCTACTGGAAAGCGTCAAATCACATTGTGTCATTAGAATCTGTATTTACAGGCTGCATCAGGATTTCTTAAACAAAACAATATTCTTGCTGAGGTAACAATCAGAACAAATACCTGCAAAGGATGATAAAGAATTTCACAAGTAAAAGTGACAGAGCCTGCTGCTGCTCTTCTAATCCATCTGACATTTTCTGGACACATTGTAGCAGCTGAAGTCTGAGGACCTGAAGAATGTTATCGGGAAGCAGTGATATTCCTGGAGGAATGTCATCCACCCTAAAGTGAAAAACCACACAGAAAATTGCTAATCAGTCAAATGACTTGTTAGAAATCAATCTTAATGTGCTCATGTAGTGTTCCAATAAACCTCTGTAGGAAAGGTTACTGAACTGGTGGCTCACAAACACTTTCTAATGAGCCATATGGAAATGCCTGGTGGCAATATGCCAGCTTGAGCTTCCTTTTCCCCAGCAATGAACTGCATTGGAAAAAAAGCATTACAAATTCATTAAGTGGATTCCTAAATGCTCCTCTATGCAATGACCTGCCTTAATTGCCACAGAGAAACTGCAGGATCTTCAGCAGGTAAATGACCGGTCTGGGAAGTCCCGATGTAAAGAACGGGATGGCCACAAGGGAATGAAACATGAAAACTAAACACAAGGGGAACATTTTCAACTTTCTACTGAAGATTAAAAGTGTCCAAATAAATGAGATACCAATTATAAAACAGCTACTGAAGCCCAGCTGGTATTCATCTGCAGTGAACCTCATGTTTTCTTACATGAATTACAAAAAGTCATACAAAATAAGATGAAATACAAAAAGAAAGCTGTCCACAACAAGATTAAACAAAGGAAGACTTGAAAATCAGGGTCTCAGTACGCAGGAAAGGGAGGTCCCAAAAATACAACTGACTCTTGACACACTGATTTTGCGTGAAAAGCTGACCCATCCTTACTAGTTTCTGGATATCATTAACCCAGCAAATAGGCTTTTTCCTGCTATCTAATTATTTTTAGGAGACAAGAAGAGACTGTTCTGTTAGTGTTAACACTAACAACTCCACCAAGGCCAGACATGGTCCTGAAGAACATTAGCTACTCTTGCCTATTTTTTTTTTACTAAACTTAAACATCTTTAGAAATATACCAGTGAGAACCAAAAGAAAAAAAAAAAAAAAAAAGAAAAAAAATCACAAATAAAACCAGTAACTAAACCAATGCTCCAGGAACAGCCATAGAGAAACCCATTTCAGCAACAGGACAGAAACACACAGATGTGTTAGAACATTCTCTGTAACGAAGACTGTTTATCCACTGCTGCACGTGCTAAAGAGACTTTGCCTTTGGCACACAGCAGAAACAAGGCACAAGCAAGAGCCTTAAAGCTTAGAAAAGCTGTCAACATGGCCAAAGTCAGAGGGAAATTACAACAAACAAAAAGCTCAGCTGGCTCAAAAACTCATTAATGACACTTGTATATATACATTTGTGTAAATATAAGCATCAAAAAGTGTGAAGAAATGCAATGACTGACACTAAACACCGTGATACCAATTATTTGAGGGAAATGAGGAACAATACATTGTTTAGCTTCTAAAGGTGAAAAGGAAGCTTATATAAAAGGAAAAAACTGAGATCAATTTAGTAAAACAACTAGACAGGTATAAGTGACAGCAAGCTCCCCTGTCCTAGAAACAAGTGTTACCTATACATACACAGAGGACCAAATGCTGTTAATTCCCTTGCCTCTTCACAGACTTGTGCAACCTGCTTTTCAGATCCTGGGATTCTGAATCTCAAGGGATTCAGAAAGTTTTAACACAAATTTTACAGGGCCTCGGCTCTAAGCTGATAGAGATACTAACCACAAAACTGAGAGCAACTGCTTTTTCCAACACAACTGCCAAGAAAGAAATTTTAATTTCTGTGATAGCAGCTTGAACCCTCAAGATGCCAGCAGATCCATACCCTCTGGAACTATAAGCATGGCTCCTCATAATCTGGTAATTCACCATCTCTGTATTAGAAAGACCATAATTTTTGACAGCTGAAATCACATATCCAGACGTAATTTCCCTAAAATGGCCAACTAGTCTTTTTCAGTAAGATGATAAAATGAACAAGTAAGCAAACAGCATACTCTTCATGCCTCACGTCCCAAAGAATGTTTTCTCTGCAGTAGCTGCCTGCCTGTGCTATTGCACAACCCATGAGTATTTACTGCCTTATGCAAGACTGGCACAAGAAATACGAATTGGGATTACTCAAACTGAATATAGAATATATAAATAAATAGAAATATTTACAAATAATCAAACTTCTTTTCACCCCAGAGCAAATTACTATGATATCACCACAAAAATACATAAGTTAAATTTGTGAAAATCCAGTATCCATTTTTCCTGACAAGATTAGCTGTGTAAACTAAGTATTCCAAAAGGAAGGAAAAAAAAAAATATCTCAAAATCATACCATAACTGACCTTCTTATTTGACTGCTAGTACCCTACCTCAAAAATATGAGAAAGACCTTGACACATTCGGGTTCTTTTTATTTATAATTTCCTTGCATTACATTAGCATGGTTATTCAGCAATATAAACCATCATCACAGGTGTCTGAAAGGAACTTAAATTAGTCTCTAAATTGTATTCACCTGTTACAGCTCAAACTCACCCCCTGGGACTTCCAACCTCTCCTCCACCAATGGTAAGTGCTTTAGAACAAAGTGCTGTAGAAAACCAGGCTTTACTTCTCAACAAACACAAAACGATGTAATCAGTATTCCTATCATGATTCCTGCATCATTTTTATGTGGGTTTGAAGTCAATAAGTTAACAAAGCACAGTTTCTATAGTACTTTGCATGAGCTTCCTTTAAGCAACTTTGCTCAAGATCATGCAAACCAAAAGCAGAAAAAGAGCATGACAACACTCTGGAGACCTTTGTTTCTCAAGTATTAAACCAAATGACAAATCCTCTCCTTCAATGAGAGGGAAAAAACCTCCCACCAGCTGGTAAAGGTTTTATCCTTTTTGCAGTAAATACATATGAGATGAACAAATGTTTTTAGGGAAAACAGACAGGTGCACGAATCTTTTGTGCTCAAAGCTCAAAGCTGTCAGCATAGCTATCGTAATTTTTTCAATAAAATCACCTTACTTTTCCAGTAAAATCATTTAAAACATCATTAAAGAACCATTTCACTTAAAAATATAAGGTAGATGCATAAAGATGGAGGTAGGAAAGAGGTTGTATAAGCCTGTAAGCTGCATAACTGTATAAGCTCTACTTATACAGTCAAATCATACCACTGGATACACTCATCCTCTATATTTAGAGATTTCATAGTTCTGCTCTATATAGCATCTTTCAGATTTCCAAAGCAGATTTCAGGAAATTATGTTTTAATTTATAGAAGAATTACTCTTATCAGTTATATCGGCAATTGTCAGTGTCAATTAGGAGTCCTCCTTTCACAAAAAAAACCCCACTAATTACATAAGTGGTGTTTTCTTGGATGCTAAAAAACCACATATGTTTTACATTGACACCAAACTTCATGCCTGTCTTCCAAAATGTTAGTTTTGTCCAGCAATCTGTCCAAGCTTTCTTCTCCTAACACAGTTTCTCATTATTTCCTGGCATTTGCCCCTCAGTACACAAGGTCTTTCAGGCATATAGCTGTAAACCATAACAAGATTTATATAAGGAAAAAAAAAGTATTAGTCCACTCAGTTTCTCATTTTAGCTAGCATCATATATTATTTCCAAGACTAAAACACAGAAATAGTTATTTAATAAGAAACTCCAGTAGAAAGAGTTGAGTCCACAGAGTCCTATGGCCGCAAGATAAGAGTCACTGGAAATCAGCATTTGGTGGTTCCACACTGACCTCCTTGTTCTTTTTCACAGGCTCAGTAGAATCAGTTCCACAATGTAAATGCCTACAATATAAACTGACAAAACCCAGAAAGATGTCACTTTTCACAAATGCAAATAAGGGCAGAAACTGCTAATATCTGCTCTCAAACAGTGTAATTTTCAGTCCAGCCATGAAAGCACAAGAATGATCTGCCTTCATCCCTATACTGTCTTCGCATGTTTTCTCTACATCTGTTACACAAATGAGTCTAAATCCCCATTGGCCTATTCTTCCAGTCTAAATCACTAATCCTGTCATTAACCTCAGAAAAATACACTATTTTTATGCTCACAAAACCATCATTTAGCACAATGAAGATGCTGCTATTGTTCTGCACAACTAAGCTTCATGTTTGTTTTATTTCTTTTGTTATGTTGCCATAAAAAAACAAACCCAAAAACCATGAACACACATAGTTAAACAACCCAAAGTACCAAGATATTCTTCCCTTCCACTGTTCAGATTTCAATACTAAATAGTATGTTAAAGATAGCCTGTGTGAAAGAACAAACCTTTTTCCTTAATTGAACACAGTAAGATGCATTTTTGACACCGCAAAGAAAACAGTTCTTCTGAAAAAGCACAGAATTAATCTGAAGGTCTTGTGTATTGGTAATTGCACTATATATTTGCATTCATATAGGCATTATGAAGAAAATTTTAATACAAAGAGCTGAGAAGATCAGTTTTTATCCACTGGGATCTAGCTGCAGCATTCTTAATTTCCTTGTAACAGTAGAGGCTATCACACTTCAAACAGGATCTGATCCAAAGCCCATTAAAGAATTTCCATTGATTTCAACAGTGCTTGGACCACAGCCATCATGCAGGGAGAGTCATTCTCTGCATCCAAACACCAGTAGTGGTATCTGCTACAATACTGACACCAGTTCTCATGATTTATGAATCCTATAACATTTGTTGTTTCTTGCATGAACCCTTAGCTCATCCAAGCATCTCAAAAGCAAGACAAAATATTCAGTGCCTAAGTTTCTACTCCTCATTTGCAAAGTTAGTCTTGAAAACACAGTCTTTAGAACACAGCAGACAAATACTAAATATGGAACTCCAAAATTAGACTTCAATACCACCTCATGATTATATCTGAGAACTTGTGGTCAGCAACACGGGTGAAGTCAGGAATACTCTTCTCCTGAACTGAAGTCTTCATGGATGAAAAGAAATAACATCAAAATTTATCATTTGCACATATTTTAATTTTTAAAAGGTTTTCAGCTAAGATATCAAAATCTTTCCTTTAGCATTTCACTTCATCCTTAATCTTAAAGCAATCCCTGAAGCAAAATTACAAATCTCTTTACCTGTATTTTACTTCTATTCAGTCACTGCTGATACAGATACTAAACACTAATACTTACTAAAACTATTTCACATGCAACATTTAATGAATATGTATTCAAAAAACACACAGGGAATAATGATTATATTTCTGCAAGCAAGAACAAGCGAATACTCATGCCATCTCCTGACATAATGCAAATACCAGTATTTGCCTAGTTTCATCATTCCCAACCCAACTTGACCTTCAAAAGAATGGGAGTGCCACTCAACAACTAAAAATCTTTCTTTTGTTTAAAGGCAGCATTGCTGTTGAATAGGACTGGGCTCTCAGCCAAGTCTCTTTCAGATATCAAAGAACGATGAATAGGTCTGTAATTCTACATACCTAGTTGGCAGCTTCTCAAAGTCCACATCCAGAAACTGTTCATAGCTAGAAACAAAACTATCCAACCAGAGCTTCAGGTAATCTGGATCTTTCTGTAAAAAAGAAGAGGAGAACATTAGGCAATACTGCACTCAAGGTCATCCATCAACAACTCAGCAGTACTAACTTGAATGCAAAGCTTTTATTTAATGCGTTTCAAAGGGGAGAAAGGACAGAGTATGCAGATTTTTAGAATAAAAATTTTAAAAAAACCTTGTGTCCTTTGAAATTCTCAGCCATGTGCTGATGTGATATTCTTGCTCTATGCACTAGTTCATGTGTTTCTACTTCCTGGTACCAATACCAACAAAAGCATTTTACCTTCTCCCCGTGCCAAAAACCTTTACTTACTCTCCAGAGTAATACAAATCAGCTTTACAAAATTACTAGTACATTCTAGTCTTGATAGCATAGACGTTAGTACACAACACTCTCTATGGCTTATAAAATTAAATAAGAACTCCAATGACAATCCTAATCCCTAAACAATTTGCTTTTTGCTTCACTCATTGATCAATACGGCAGCTACCAGCAGATTAGAGCCAGATGAAGGGTTCCAAGAGACAATGCAGAGCTCATGACTTGTATACTACGTATCTATGAAACAGATAGGAATTTAAAATTAGGCTTCCTAGTTGTTCTTAGTAGAGCACACAGGCTCTGTTCGTGAACACCAGTTCCTCAGTGCTAGGTACCGTGCCAGTACCACACTAGAACACCACAAACCACCACAGTAAGATTCTGTCAAAATATGCCATTTGAGATAGTCTTACTTCAGCAATCAAGCTACTTAATTTTCAAAAGCAAGCTGCCAGACCATAGCTAACATATTCCTCCACAAGGACTGACTGTACAGTCACGTCCTGTAATATACATCCACACCATCCCACATTCTACATTACAAATAATTTACAAAATAACTTTAAAATATTTACCTAAAGGATTATAAATTTTAAATTATTTCTAAATCTACTCCATAATTTATAACATTTTGCAAAAGTTTTAAACTTTTTTGTTCATCCTTCTCTTTTCCCTTTTCTGTATCTCCTCCCTGTTGCCTTTATATTACCATAGATGTTCCCATATAACAGATTATTTCCCTGCAATAAGAAGACCAGGTAGCAACCTGTGAATAACTCTAACACACAGAGTATTCCAGGGCCATGACAATGTAAAAGCCACCAACAAAGACTGACACACAGAGTCCTGTCAGTGCAAAATAGCAAATTACAAAAGAGTCCCCAAGGAGAAGAAAAAAGAAAAAAAAAGAAAAAAACACCAAACAACAACCCAAAAAAACCACACCACACCCAGAATAAAATAAAAATGGAAATCCCTCCAGACTCAGATGTGCTGCAAAACTCTTCTTACAGCATCTTTCCACAGCAAGTACAGGAGTTATAAAGCATGGGAATTATCTTCTTATTCTAGATCTTGTCCTTCCCTGTGCCCCCAAAGACCCCTCTAACCAAAGCAAGAGGTGTCAGAAACACCCAGACACAATTTAGTTCATTATCACTATTAATTATACATTAAATATGTTCAGATACTGTGACAACAGGTGCCAAATAAAACCCTCAACTAGATACATATCTTGTCTCATTATTTGCTTCCACTGCCTTTACTGCATTTTCTCATTCTCATTCATTTTTCCTCATTGTCTTCTTTCCCCTTCTTCCACTTCACTCCTAATCTTTCCCTCCTTCATAATCTTTCATCTCCTCATGCTTTTATTCCCCTTTCAAGGGTTTTCTTTTTTAAGTTACACTACCTTTCTTTTTCTGATAAAACTTAATCAATAAAGTATTATGACCTGTAAGTGTAATGTAGCCTTGTCCTCATGTTTAATACGTGCTAAATTACCAAAGGGTTGTCTTAAACACACACCTACCAATTGTCGTCAAGATGAAATTGTGACATACAGAATGAAGGAAGCCGTTGAAATAAAGAATAAATTCAAGGTTTCCAAGCTACTGGTTTAAGCTACAGACAGATTATCTCAACCAGGTGAGCACAGAACACACATTTCTCAGGTTCAGAGATCAAACACACTGAAAATCAAACCAAAAGATGGGCAAGAAGTAAGACTTGCTAATATCCTAAAAGAATGAGCTAGCAGTAGCAGAAGATGCTGTCTTCTGACATTATGACTTTAAAAAAAATATTCACATATTTAAAGCTTTAACTTCCTTGTAATTCACAGCAAGTTATTTTAGCCACACACAAGCTACATCACAGGATCACTAAGATGAAGAAAAGCAGTATACGATTTTAGCAACTATAATACAGCTCAAGCTACAAAGGACAAAGCAATAGCATCCATGGCAAAGTAACCAACAGCGTGCGTCCATGCCTCTAATGATAATGCCCATGCACGTGCAAAACCTATTTAACTTTTTTTCCTGTTGAACAAACTGTTTTGGTTTTTCTTGGCATGAGCAAGTTCTCCTTGAAATACAACATTAATTACTAAATTGATTCTATTTGTATCCTAAAATTAAAATTGTTTGTTGACACAGCTGAGATTATGTTGACAGTAGACTTTTTAAGAAACTCAGTTTTTCTTGTTCATGTACCATGAAGGAAGCTGTGCAAATAACATCATTATCAGACTTAAAATTGCTTTAACAGAAGGTTACAGATGAGAGAAGGAGGGAAGACGAAAGACAAAAATCAGACTAAACATCACTTGCTCCTTTTTAATGATATAGACTAAATCAGCTTCAAGATTAAGATTCAATTAAACCTCCTTATCCCTAAAATGTCTTTGCAAGGCTACCAGTGCAGACTAGCAGTAAGAGAAAACACTGGCAGACAAAATATGCAAGAAAAAGCAATTATGTAGATGACAAGAGCAGGGCACAGATGTTGTAAAAGCCAAAAGCTTTTGCTTACCTGTAGTGCACACACTGTTCCATTTACTTTGCCACTATAAAACTCCTCCCAATTCTGCTGCAAACCAAGAACTGCAGTACTGTTTGATCATTACCTGCAGCACACTATTTAACCCGACTCCCTGCTATCTCAATCCCCTGCCAGCCAATTAATTACATACTATTCCAATTCACTAAAATAATCAGCTTTGATATCAAAATACCAGGTAACACTACTGGTATGTGCCAGCAGAAAACAGCTTACACAATAGTTGACTCATTTTGAGTCAAATCTAGATATTTCCATTCAGGCAGCAGCACTAACTCAACGCCACTTGGGGGGGGGGGGGGGGAAAGGAGGAAATCAAGCCAAAAAGGTGAACAACATCACTTGGCAACGTAAGAAACACTAAGAAATAAGTCTCTATTATAAACCACCTAACAGAAGTATGCCACCTTTCCAGAAATGAACAAAAATGAGGACTTATGAACTAGGAGTACACCAATCCAGGAAAAAGTGACCCAACGTTTTAACAGTTTTGCTACAAATTAGGACATATAAGTTATTTTAAAGGTGTTACAAACAGAAGTTAAAAACAGCTTTCAAACTTTGAATCTGGCCCAGTTTTCCTTTTTCCTTATTAGCAGCAACCAGCCCAGACCCCATACACCAGTCACCTGTTGAAAGCTGCAAGAAATCTAAATTCTACTGAAGCAGTTTTAAGAAAGGAAGCTTACAATGGTACATATTATCCACAGCAAAGTATGTAAAAATGTCCACTCCTAAAACATAGCTAAATACATAGCCTTCTGAAGACCAGCCTAGCTGTTTCAAATGCATCTCATACATTCCCAAACCAGAAGCATGATGTTTTACATTGGTTTAAAATTCCCATTTCATAATAAAAGCAGACAGTAGTAATGGATATCAGCTGCTTCCTGTGCACCACATACACTGCAACTGTCCTACCCAGCATCTTTATCTTGAACTGAACTTTTTTTGAAGTCAGCTGCAGCCTTTTAATCTGAAGTTTAAATTCAGTGGACTTTAGAATTTATTTCTGTTGAGTTCTCTTCCCACACACCTTTTCAGCTATCCTCTATTTTCTCATGACGGAAGTGGTAAACTACATTAATAGCAGAACACAAATTGACCTAATTTTAACATGAATACATTTGTGTTCTTCAATGCCAGATCAACTTTCCAAGCCATGCTGCAATCTGACAAAGATCTGTGTTGCCACATGGCAGAAGATTGCATCCCATGGGTATGGCAATCCTTCTGATCCGTGTTGCTACTGAGAGCAACAAAGCACTGAACTGCAACCCTGGCTCCAACTGAGGCACTATAAATTGTTAGCTACTGTATCTGCAGTTCTCATAAGGAAGGAATGTAACTTAGCCAGATCGTAATAAAGTAAATATTCAGAAGCCTTATTACCAATAAAAGCACTGAAATCTATGGAATATATTCTCTTATTCCCCACTTTCGTAACTACCCTCTTGTCATTCTGCAGACAGGTAGCTGGAGGCTGTATGTCAGACAACAGCTCCAAATTGTCTTCCATGGTGCTGGCTGAAGATGCATCATGCTTTTAAAGAGCAGCTTACAAAGCAACATATGTTTTGATCATACATCACAAGGACAAACTGTGATAAACCAATTTTAGATGGGGATTCTTTCCCAGCCCCACCACACACAGTCTGCAGACGTCCTACGAGATCAGCAAGAAATGCAAAGGGAAATTTTTCATTTGTGCAACAGCAGTAAAAGCAGAAAGAAGCTGCATGTGGTAATAAACCACCTTTCACTAGTTACACCTTTCCAATCACTAGAAGATAAGAAAATGTTGATTTTTGAAACCTTGCAGCTTTCTAAGTCACAAGCCTAAGCATTTCATTTATTTACCTGAAACTTGCCTCACTTTTGTGCAAGACAGATTTCTGTATCTTATTTGAATAATAATTCATATATAGAAACTCCATGCCTTAAAACTTCTGGAAGATAATTTCTCCACAGCTTGAAATCTCAAGAAGATAAAACCCAACTTAAGTTAGCCATTTCTCTTCACAGTGGTAAACTGAAACAGCCAGAGTTTTAACAAGGCTATCTTAAGGGTGTCATTGTAAGGATATGCCTTGGTCTAGAACAAAAAAAAAAAAAGAAAAAAAGTACAAAG